AAATATTTTATTCTGGGTCACAGTAAGAAACATTTGAAAGCCAGTGCTTGGGGTATGACCATGGGAAGGGGTAACTGAGATAGTGAGGAGGATAGGATCATTGGAATTTGCTTCTTAAGTAGGAACAAACTAAAATACACACATTCTCTCTCTCTCTCTCTCTCTCTCTCTCTCTCTCTCTCTTTCTTTCTCTCTCTCTCACACACACACACATCTCTATTCTGTGCCTTATAAAATGGAGTAAGAGTATAGGTATTAAAAATGATTTTGATTTGAGATGCATTATACACGTGAAGGTTGGGGATTCAGCTCCCACTTCCCTCGAAAGACTTTAAACATTGTGGGGTGGTGGAGAAAAGTATGGCCCAGATAGTAGTTGAGCTTCTGGCTCAACATTGGGTCCCTGCAGCTTCACTGTCAGACTGAGGGGAATAGATTGGGTTAATGCCAGAGTCTGGGTCATCACTGAGATCCTGTGATTCTATAGAAGCTGGGCTCTGAGGAGAGGGGACTTTTAATAAGTGCTTTGGGTTATAGGAAGAGAGCTTTTGCAACTTAGACAGTTATGGGTCAACCACCAGTAGAAAATTGAAAATTAAATTTTAGAGGGTTGTGAGGATAACTATGCTCTAAAAGATCAAGTAGACAGACATAGTTTTGGGACTGTGATATATTAGTTCTAGCTTCTTTCTCATTCTGCTGTCTTGATTATTTTTTTTTTAAAATAACAACAAAAAAATATTAGCATCTGAGTATGATTTGGCCTTGCCTTTAGAAGTAGAAGCAGACAGACTGTATCTGGACTTCCCTGGTACAGCTTCCCATTGTTATGCATAGTAGAATCTTGAGGTCTAAGTTCCCATCATACTGGACTATATTGGTAAGGTGTTGGCAGTGGGAAGCAGGAAGCTACTTTCAATGGCTGTTAAAAAGGAAGGAAATGGTGACCAGGGAATTGCAGAGTGGGGAGTCAGGAGGTTCTTATAGGCCCTCATCCCCAGTCTCCCAGAGTTCACAGCCTCTTGTCAGGTACCACATTCTCTTGGATGGCCCCTGTAGAGGAGTGGTGAGGTAGGGATTCTTCATTGGGCTGTCTAATATGAATGGAGGATGACAGAAAGGGCTGTCTCCCACTCATTCCTCTAGGGAGCAAATAGATTTTAGTTGAAATTCCTGATAGTGTGTCTTCCTTTGAAGTGTTAAAATTTGCAGTTAAATTTTCAAGCCCACTATAGGTTAATTAGACCTTCAGTATGCTTGGGGAATTAGTATTCCCTTTAATGACTGTTTTTGTGGGGCAAAATAGTTATAATTAACATTTCCTTAGTGTTTATTTGGCCAGAAATTCATTCTACCTATATTATTTTATCTGTACGAATAGACAGGCATTCCGTTTTCTTAGCCTCATCTTACAGAGTGAAGATTGAGGCTCACATCCCCAACCTTGCTTTTGTTATCCTCATCTCATTTCTCCACTGTGCCCACCCCTTCCTCAACCTAGTCTTCACTTAATTTATCTTTTTTCTTTTTAAACCAGTGACTCAAAATCAGGCCTATCATGAGTTGGAGACTTCCTACAGATAGGCATGTAGTTAGTCCTCAGGTCTGCCAGATGTTAAATAAAGGTGAGAACAGCTCAAGTCCAGCCTTCCAAGGACAGTATTTGATGCTGTACTCTACTGAATTTAAAGCTAAAACTTGGGAATATAGGGCTTTCTAAGTAGAGCACAGTCAAGTGTGACTGTGAGGTTTTCTAGGGCCAGAAGGCCTGTGTTTTATGTTACATAGCATTGGGTGGGCTCAGGGACTCTAGCCACAGCTGCATTCCAGAGACAGTTGAGAGTCATGGCTGGTAATGACATCATCTCCACAGGTGCCAAATCACCCCCTTCTCTCCAGCCTGCCTTTGCTCCCCCCCTTTTCTTTTTAAAGGACTTCTAAGACGACCGTGAGGTTTTGTTGTAAAAATAAGTATGAAATCCAATTCTGGGTGTGTGTGTGTGTGTGCAGAGGTAGGGAGATGAAAATACAGTGCTTTTTGCAAACCACACAGTCCCAGAAATTCCAGTGTTAGGTTACTTACGTTCAATCACTCCCAAGAGATTTTTCTGGGGTGGGGTGGAGATGGAAGAAAGGATAGAGACTAGATGAGAAAAGTAGCCTTGGACAGACAAAGTTGAGGGGTTCCCCCCCTCCATTTCCCCCTGATTGAAGACTGACTGCAGTATTTCTAAAAGAACCCCCATTTTTAGCATATTTTGTAGAGGCTGAAGAGCTCTGATTCCAGACGTCAAGCTTGGTTTCAAGGGATTGGATCTTTTTATGGTAAATTTACATGTTTGTTGGGTAAAATTTGGAATAGAGAGAAACATAATAAAAGCCAGCTTTATTCTCACTTTCAGACATAATCACTTAATATTTTGTTGTTTTTATCCTTGGATCCCACATTTACAGTTTATAGAATAAATACTTAGTAAATTTGTGTACATTTCACAAACCAGGGCTCATATGTTTGTTTTTTTATGGCTATTTTTTTCAACTTTGTGTATGTTTTGCCATGCTAAGTAATTTCTTAAAAAGGTAGAATTTTAGGACTGTGAGGTACTTTAAGAGATAATCTACCCCCTTTTTATTTTATAAATGAGGACATTTAGTAAATTAATGACTTTAGTAAGTTAAATGACTTTCTCAAATTAGTATTACTTTCAGAGCTGGAATTAGAACTGGTCTCACTTATTTCAGTATATTTTTAACTATACCGTTCTGTTTTACTTTATTCACTAGGGAGAATTTGTGAACTATTATCCTTCACAAAGATAAATTGGATCCCATTGCCTCAGAGAGTTAAATCCATCTGACTATAACTTTGAGTATGAAAAAAAAAATGACCCATAGAGACTACCCAAACACACCTGTGTGGTTAAATTAATTTGTCTCAAGTGATTTGGAGAAATTTGAAAACCATATGATTTGGCTGCATTGCTGTTATTTCAGGATTATTTGATGTAAGCGTGAAAGGAATGGAGGTTAAAAATGTATGTTTTACATTTAGCATAAGAATATTTGAAGTTTCTCTTTTCTGCCATGTTCAAACCAATCAATCTCTTAAAACTTTTTAGTGATTTTTCCAAACTGTTAATTATCACTTCACGGGCCAACTTTCTTCTACTCCGGAATATATTTGACATATTTTGCTGAATTCCTATAGGAATTCTTAGCTGTGTAGTTCCTTTGGCCCTTATTCACAGTCTTATAGCCCTTTTTCTACTATTGTCTTGAAATTTGAATGTTTATGAATGTTCACTTTCCGTGGGGTTGTGTGTTAGCAGTCTAGATTATCAGCGCCTCAAAGCAAGATTATTGTCTTCTGCCTTCCTGCCACTCTCTCCCCCTCCACTTTGTCTCCAAAGAGCTAGGAGAGCACCTTGTAGGCTCTCACTATTATTACTGTGTCTTGTTAAAAGGGTTCTGAGCATATTTAGGGCAAATGAGGGAGCGTGCCTCTTCTCTGCTCTCTGTGAGTTGATAGTGGTGCTGGCACCACTGGTCTTGGGAATATCTCTGCAGAAAAAGCAAGTTGAGCATGATTTGTACTTTATTTTGTTGTTTTGGTCAACAGATAGATGTCCTTTTTGAGGCAGTTACTGTGGATTCAGACAGTGTGCTGGTACACAGAGTTTCAGACTCACCCTCACCTTTGTTTGACCTTCAGTCAATCTAGAAGAAACCGTATAAACCAGCTGAAATGACTTTGGTGAGAGGGGAGGGACATTTGAAAAATATGTGATGGAGAATCCCCAGTTTCTGTTTTTTCTTGGAAAAATCCTCCCACAAGAAATCTTCAGTCTATTAAGTTATGCAGTGTGAAGACTTACTGATAATTTTCTACATTTGGTTTTTTGTATCTTGGGGGAGAATTGAAGGTAGAATGAGGGGAATGAAGAAATTTGGTATTGAAAATCTGAAGAGTAAGGAGTGGGAAAGAAAGGAAATAATTGCTAGTATGTATTTGTATGTTGGGGAAGAAGGAAAGGGAGAAAGAAGGAAAAAGCCATCAAGAAATAAGGATAAGTAGCCAAATACTAGGGTGGGGACCAAATCTGAATGTCATTTGGCAAAGTTGATTATTCTTTTGGTTCTTTTCCAGAAGTTTTTCAAATCACAGAGTGGGTGGAGGAACTCCACTAGAGTTGACAGCTTAAGTGTTGGAGAAATAGGACAGAAATAGCTTGAGTGACTGAAGTGGGAAGAAACAGAATTAACAAAATTCTTTTTTCCAGCAATGTTCTATTTCTTATAATGCTGTACTTAATTTAAAGTGTTGTACCAGTAAGTTTGTTTGGCATAATATAAAGAATTTCCTTTTTGAACAGTTGCTTGATTCCCCACCCCCCACCCCCATTCCCACCCCCATCTTTCTCTAAGTGGCTTGCCTTAGAAAAGGCCTTGGAACTCTCTCCGTTTTCCAACTTATTTGTTGTGGGACCGTATCAGGACATAGATGTGATGCAAAAGGACACCGATCCGGGAGCTTCACAGGGAAGCAGCCACACACAACCCCTTCATGGACCAAGTACACTTGTGTGGTCTGTGTGTGGGCGTGCACATGCTCTTTTCCCTTAAAAAAGAGTTGCATAGGCATGACATACTTTGTGCAGAAAATTTCATGTGTTGCTGAAGTGTGGTCTAATTTCTGTTAAGTCTTTTTAAAATTCATTATATTTAAGTAATAAGGGATCTGCATATTCTCTAGGCCGTTTAGAATCATTTTCCACCTGTCTGTTTGGTTTGGTGAAAAGAGTAAATTAATTTGGGGATTAATTTTATGATTGGAAAAGGAACTGTACTTTCTAAAGATATATGCTTACTGTTGTGTTCTAGTATCAGTCGCATTATTTCCTGATCCACGCCTGGGCCACTTCTGACATAAGTGTTAGGAACTGAATTGTGTCAGCACTGATACTTAAGGCGTTTATCCTAATCCAGGCGTCCTTGGTTTTCGGTGCCATCGACCAGCAAGTTGGTAGCGGTGATCACAGACCTAGACTGCAGGTGTGAGTTCTGAGGACATCTGTGATTACTCAGTGAATTCCTTACCAGTGACGGTCAGTTGGTGTTTTTCTTTGGATGCTCAGTTTTGACTTCATGAAGGTAGTGGTTTTTATGTTATTTTCAGTTCTCCTAAAACGAAATGAATATCACTGAATTCTATCTCAAAGGGTGCTGTTATGCAGCAAAAGTAAAGAGGAGGTGAGGGACAGTGAGGAACCAGCCATACAGCTTATATGGTTCAGATTTGGGTTTTTGGTATTTGTGTTGGCCAGGTTTCCTGGAAGATAAGCTTATATTGTATTTATGTAGATCATTCTAAAAGTTCTGTGTAATTGTTACAGAATTATATTTAAAAAAGAGAATAGGGGATTTCATGTCTTCTGCCTCAGTTCTGATAGCCACAGCTACTGTTCTGGGTGCTCCTTCATTTTTCCTGGCCCCTGCAATTGCTGCGATTTCTGTACCTTCGTGTGATAGAGGCTGTGCATGAGGAAGAGATCATAGTAATGCCTATAGTTAAAAAAACACACCAATAAACAAGCAGCCACCATTCTACGTTTTCATACTGTTTTACACCTTTGGGAATCAGAACTTCAGCAGAGTGAGGTTGCATTTGGGAAAAGAAGATCCCAAGAGGAAAGTGTGTTTGGAAAAATTGGCTCCATTTGACAAAATGCTGAGGGGCAAATTCATAAATTCATCTAGAAACATGAGCTCATCAGCTGGTTGATTTAAAATGTTAATGCAAATGAGAAATACCTGGCAGATATTCTAAAAAATAGTTCCTCTGTCAGTTCAGTTTAAAATTTCTCGAGTCTCCTTTTCAGTAATATAAAGAAAGGATGGGCTATAAAGAATTATTTTTTTAGATCCCTCCCAGATCTAAAATTTTATGATTCAGGAGGACTATAAAATATATTATTGTAGGCATTATTTTAGAGCCATTTCTGTTTTCTTCTCACTTTTCTTAGAATTTAATACCTTTTTGAAGATAATGATCTTTTAGGAGTCTTAACCCATGAGAACCAATCATGTAGAGTGAAGATAGTAAATCCCATTCTTCTCACATTTTCCTAATTTGAATCTTAAAAGATGGCATGAGATTTCTGATTATAAATGTGCCAAGATAATATTTGTTTCATTAGATAGCTATTTAATTTAATATTAGGCTTACTTTATTAAATCATTAAGGTGATTATCATGGATAATAGAAAAATGAGATTATGGTGCCTGGAGTTAGAAAAAATAGGTGCACTGAGTTTGTTAAAGGTGTTTTCTTATAACTTCATTTCTTTCTACCAAATATACTAAGCATAGCTTTGTGTACAGGGGGCAACTTTTTGCAGCTGAGGATAAGCGATGGCTAAGATGGACTTGTTCAGTGGAGTCGGTAAGATGGGAATCTGGGGAAACTCTAGAAAAGGGCTCAGCTCCAGAGACACAGGGAACGCTGTAGGCATCTGGAGGAGGGAGGGGTGGCACCCAGCTAGGAGTGGCCAGTATGTGTTTGGCAAGGTCATAGCGTATAGCAGGATTTGTCCTATGTTGTTGTTGGTGGTGGCGGCGATGGGCATGCTACTTGACTGGCTGACTTCTGAGAAGAGACTACAGGAG